TTTTACACAATCATCATACATGCCACTTGCACAGAGTGAGTGGAGTCAAGTGGGGCTCTCTTTAGAAGGCCGGGTCTCTCATACTTTCACTGCAAACTTTGCACACTCTGCCGCTGCTGGAAAGTTAAAGTTTGTCCGTCTTCAGCACCACACACTGGCATCACTAAGCAATTGACTGGTTCAGAAAGAAGTCTCTTCTCTTCTGAACACCTGTGTATCATAGTGAATCTGCATCAGGTGCAAGCAATCTGTCTGTTTCCTGTCAGTTGCTTTGGAACCGAGAACTTTGATTGGCTGTCAAGTGAAGATAAATTGGGTGCCTTGACCCTACCTGATACTGTGCTGCAGAAGGAGGGAAGCAGAGTTGTAGTTGTTTTGTGCTGGGCTAACAGACGCTAGATTGGGGCTTCTCAAGTTTATACCTGATATTATTTCTGCTTGAAGCAATGAGCTTTATATTTTGGTAATCTCAAATAATTCTTTTCCTGAGATTTATGATTTTATTTGATGTGATCACAATAGTTTGTTCAAATATGTTTTTGTTTTAGTGTGTTGCTGCCATGGGTACTTCTTGTTGGGGAGCTTCAAGCAAGTATGAAACGTAAGTCTCATGTGAAGCTAGAATTTGAGTTAAGTATGACAAACATGGTTATTCACTATTAAATTTCATCTCTTTTCAGCTTCCTATCTTGGCTTTGGAAATCTTGATGCCAGTAAGCAGGTCTCGGGTGACCAGCTTCATCAGTTGCCACACTGGTTCCACCCTCTGCGCCAGGACCAGGCCCAGCCTCAGCCTCGGAGCTCTCTGGCTCCTAGCTCTCAGCCCAAGGTCCAACCCCAGTCTCGCAGCTACCTCCCCCAGCCATTGCTGCAAGCTCATGGTTCTCAACCACAAGTCCAGCCCCTGTCACAGCCCCTGGTGCAGGCTCGCAGCTATCAATCTCAGCCACAGGTTCATAGTTACTGGGCTGAGGCCTATCCCCAGCTGCAGATTCGCAGTCAAGGCCATCCTGAGATCCAAGGTCCCCCCCAGGTCCGTCCCCACACCCAGCCTCGGAGCTTTCAGAATCGTGCCCAAATCCAACCACAGCCTCGCAGGATTGAGGGCCATCCCAAGACCCAGATGCAGCCTCAGCCTCGTACCTTTCAGGGCCAGACACAGACTCAGCTGCAGCCTCGCAACTTTCAGGGTCATCCTCAGGGCCGTCCCCAATTCCAGCTTGAGGGTCATCCCCAGAACCAGTTGCAGCCTCACAGCTTTCATGGCTATTCCTACCAGCCACAGCCTCGCATCTATCGTGGCTATCCCCAGGCTCAGCTGAAGTCACAGCTTCAGCCTCGTAGCTTTCAGGGCCATCCCCAGGTACAGACCCAGCTTCAGCCTCGCAGCTTTCAGGGCCATCCCCAGGTACAGACCCAGCCACAGCCTCGCAGCTTTCAGGGTAGTTCCCAGATCCAGACACAGCCTCATAGCCATCAAGGCCATCCCAAGACCCAGCCACAGCGCCAGACCCAGCCACAGCCTCGCAGCTTTCAGGGCTATGCCCCCCAGCCACAGCCCCATAGCTTTCAGAGCCAGGCCCAGAACCAGCTGCAGCCCCGCAGCTTTCAAGGCCAGGCTTATCCCCAGGCGCAGCCACAGCCTCGCAGCTTTCAGGGCCATCTCCAGGTACAGACGCAGCCACAGGTTCGTACCTTTCATGGCCATCCCCAGGGCCATCCCCAGGTCCGTCCCCAGACCCAGCTTCGTAGCCATGAAGTCCATCCTGAGACCCAGCTGCCGACCCAGCCACAGCCTCGCAGCAATCAGGGCCATCCCCATGCCCAGCTGAAGTCCCAAATGCAGCCCAGCAGCTTTCAGGGCCATGCCCATCCTCGGGCCCAAATCCAGACCCAGCTGCGGCCTCGCAGCTTTCAGGGCCAGGGCCATCCCAAGGCCCAGACCCAGCTGCAGTCTCTCAGCTCTCAGCCTGAAGGCTATCAGGCTGACTCACTGCCACAACCTCGTAGTTCTCCGGCTCAGCCCCAAGACCAGCTGCATGCTAGCAGTTCTCAGTCGCGGGGCCACCTAAAGCCTCGCAGTCATCATGCTCAGGCCAAGACACAGCCTCATAGTTATCCAGCATATCCACATGCCCATTCTTACTATCAGACTCAAATCCCAATACAGGTACGCAGCTATCAAATGCGTCCTCGGATGATGCGTTACCAGCACAGACCTCATCTTCAGCCTTGGGTAAGGGCAACTGGCACAAACCACCAGATTCTGCAAGGGGCTTAACCGAAGAGGTATACTCCATAAAACTAGTTGGTGTTTACTTTGTCGTTTTTTGTTTTTTTTCCTCTTTCCCTTTAGAACCTGCATAAGCTCAACATCACTAATTATCTTTCTCATTCCAGGGCCAACATCAGAAGATGGATCATTAACTGCATGGATACAATTAAACTGATCTTTAGGGGAAATGTAAATAAATCTTTCTAGATGAGTCTGTGTGTGGGCTAGCTTATTTATACTTTATAGTAATATCTCACAGTTGTGAGAGCAGGTGGTGCATGTTTCAAATTTTTAGCTCAAACTGAAGCATTCATGTGCAGCACTACGGCAGGCAAAGAAGATCTGCTCTGAAAGCACAGGTGATGCGTAATGACCTGCTCTTCATTTTGCTGGTGACCCAGTTCAACTGGAACTTTTTTTTTCTTTTTTTTTTTTTTAAAGGGTGGGGGGACCCAGGCAAAGAACCCTACTGTACAGAACTTAAACAAAATAGAGACTTTAACATTGGTTCTGCATATAGAGCCAAAATTTACCTTATTTTTTTTTTCAGCATGTAACTGAAAACGTATGAAATCTTGAATACTTTTTTGCACCTTTTATTTCCAGATTGCTTTTAACTTAAAAGAGAAAATCCAACTGATTCAGAGCAGTATTCAGTCTGGTTACTAGATAAAGTCAGATTTTTGATGTGCACCAGAGACAAATGAGTCTCAGGTGCACATCTAAATTCACTGAATAACTGCAAGAAGAGAGAAAACAGGCCTTCATGGAAAACTGCTGCATGCAGTGCACTCGCAATGCTTAACTCCCATGTTCCTTTTCAACAACCAGCAAAGCGACCAAATTCATCTCTTTATCAGTTAAGTATCCTCCAGGAGGTATGGATAGAACATAGGTGGTAGAAATAAGATTGTTCATTATAAGCTTTGAAAATGTGCATGTCTCTAATTCCCTTGACTGATGAAATGCTGTTTGTCCAAATCGTGGTTTTGGTGGATCTTGTTAAATTGCTTTGAGATGTGGAGACTGCAGGCCTGTGACTAATTCCATTTTGTTTGGCAATCCCTCCAAGTCCTTAGCAGAGGCATTCCATGTTTTTGAACTTCACAGCACATTTAATCTATCAACTGTTTCCTATCCAGCATACAGTGTTCCTACACGTCCATGCTTATGTTCTGCCATTAGGTGGCACCATCTGACATGAAACTTGAGACTGTCATGGACATGTTGGGACTAAAAGACAAATACTGCTGGGACTAGAACATTTTTTTTTTTTTTTTTTAACTATAAAACCAGTTTCCCTTAAATGGCAAATGTCAGGATAGATTCTTTAAGGAACTGCTTTCTAGAAAGTTGCTTTTAACTGAAATGACTTTACGCTGTCTCAGAAGTATAACTTGTGCTATAATGATATATTAGAATGAGTTAAAATTCTTCTATATCTCCTGTTTAAAATGACAGTCACATTTTAAGGTTTTAAAGTAACAACAAAGTAACACGTAATGACAGCTGCAGCTTAAAAGCTATATAATTTCCGGTCACACTAATGCTCAGACGTGTGTGTGTGTGTGTGTGTGTGTGTATGTATGTAAATTAAAAGGTTAAAAAAATACAGTTGAAAACTGACATTAAGCCACCAAAAAGTCAGCTGTGAATGCAGCTTGAGTCACTGCAGCAAAAGGTTGATCCTGCAAGAAAGGCCAGAGGGCTGAAGAGGCGAGCCTAGTGATTGTTTTGTCCTGCCTCCCTTCAGCTGTGGCAGATGGCCCCGCCCCTCCCTGAGCCTGGTTCTGCTGAAGGTTTCTTCCTGTTAAAAGGGAGTTTTTCCTTCCCACTGTCACCAAGTGCTTGCTCATAGGTGGTTGTCTGAACATTGGTGTTATTCCTCTGTAGTATTTTTAATCTTGAGGTGCCCGTTGCTGGGATTTGGTGCTATATAAATAAAACTTAACTGCATTGAATAAAGACCGCCAGTCTCCAGAGGGGTTTCTGTTTCAATAGTCACTACAAGCACAACTGGTTATGTTAGTGTTAAATCATGCAATTTACATGCTACACTATGAAGTCCAGTGTCCAAAGAACTCCCCGAACATCTGCGCAGTTAATTGTATTTGGTCTAGTTTAGGCCATGTGTCACCAGATCCTATCATTTAACAGCATAATACATTTAGTAAGCCAATCTTCTTTAGTTGATTTCTTATTAATTTTTTTTGTTTTGTTTAATTTTTGTACATTTGTTTTTTTAATTAGCTTCTTTACATGCAATATTGCTTTGACTCTGAGTCTAGTAATTGCATTGGCAGTAGTGATGCGTTATTGTTACCTAACAATAATAAAACTCATTTTAATCTTGTCTCCATTAATTTCAAACACAGATCTTTAGACAACCATTCTGTGAATCAAACTGGTTGGCATAGTGACCACTAAGCATTTAATTATAGAATAACTCAAACAATAAATGCAAAGCTACCAGATGGTAACCAGAATGTGTCGTTTGCTTTATGGCAATTTTGAAATAAGATTGTGGCTTTGATATTGTTCAAAGTGTTTCACAACAAAGTCCCACAACACCTGTGAATCATGATGAATCTGGTCCAGGTGCAATCAATCCACCTGTTTCCAGTCAATCAGATGGAGGGCAAGAACTTTGACTGGCTGTCAAAAGAAGATAAATTATGTGCACTGGACCGCTCCTACAACTGCACCACCGAAGGAGGAAAGCAGATTTTTTTTTGGGTCTAGCTGCCTTTCTGCATGCATTTAGGTCACTGATTGAAGCTATGAGACTATTATGGTACTATTTTGTGCCCCCATACAATGGCTATGTCCATTTGAAGTGACACAGGGTTACTTAAACCTGTATTCTTTTCTAGTGCGGTGCTGCCATGGCTACTCTGTGTGGGGGAGCTTCAAGCAAATGTAAAATGTAAGACAACATGTTGACTCAAACTACAGCTTAAGTAGAAAATGACAAAAGAACTATTTCACTTGTGGCGTCGATCTGAAATTTTCTGTTTTCAGCTTTGTATCCTGACTCTGAAACTGCAGATGTGGTAAAACCTCAGCAGGCCTCAGGTTACCAGTCCAACCTTCAGCTCCAGCTTCCCAACTACCGGCCCTGGTCACATTTCCAGATTCCTAATTATCAGTCCCGGTCAGATTCCCAGATTCCCAATTACCAGTCCTGGTTGCGTTCTGAGGTTCCCACCTATAAGCCTCGGTCAAATTATCAGATGCCCAGCTATAAACCTTGGTCACATTACCAGATTCCCAACTATAGGCCTTGGTCACATTACCAGATTCCCAACTACAAGCCTAGGTCACAACACCGGGTTCCCAATTACCAGGCGTCGTTGCCGTCCCAGGCTTCCAGGTATCAGGTTTGGCCTCGGTCCCTGGTTCCTGCCCACCAATACCAGGTTGGATTACAGGATCAGGCCTTCCAAAGCAGTACTCTGCCTCAAAGTCAGGGCACACAGAGAAAGCCTCAGACTTGGAGGCAAGTACAGAATTCCTAGCACAGGTTTCCGACACGTACCCAGAGGCAGGGCTCTCAGCGCAGGCTTCAGATTGAGACCCAGAGGCAGGGCTCCCAGGATATCCTTCAGACTCAGCCTCAAAGCAGAACGTGGCCTTATCCTAGGGGCAGGGCTTTTCCCATAGACAACCATCAAGCTTGGAAATAGGCTTAATTAGCACACATGAGGATGCTCAAGGTAAGAATGGCATTTACTTTCTAATCTACTGTTGTGCTTTTAACATAAGATCGACACCCTAAATTATCTTTCTCATTTCAGATATGTCAGAAAATGCATCTTTAACTACTTGGACCCAATTAAAATGATCTTTGTAAAAATAGTAATAAAAAACTTCTATTTGTTTCTTGCTGTGAAGCAAATCTCTACAGTTCAGTCCTGGAATTGAGAACTTATGCACATGCTGTGCTGAAGTCTTGTCTCAGAGGCCAAACTGCTGATGTACTTTACAAGCTTGCACCTACTACAGACACGTGTATCTGCTCAAGTAGGATGACTGTCTTGACTCCATACAGTGAAGGAAGATGGAGAGTGTGGTATTGGGTGGGTTTGCTCTATGTTGGGATGGAGCACTGCTTAGCATATTTTATTTTGGGTATCTGCAATTAATATTCATTATGTTGATGAGCAGAATGAATGTTCAAAATCATGCTGTACTTGAAATTACTTACTGTATAATTTGTTTCTCCTCTTCTGTAAAATACCTCAAATTGTGCAATATTTAAAATGACTTCTGCACTGCCAAAAATGACTTACGCATCAATTAAAATCCTTACAGACTTTAATCACTTTACTGAAATATATAATTATTCTTTGTTTGTTGTAAAAACTTTACTCGTTAACCCTTTATTTTAGCGTACGTGCCCTTAAGTATTAGTAGGTAAACATTACTTTGTAATTTTAAAAACAATAGAATGAAGTTCAATTTAATTACAAAGGAATTACGTGTTTAGTCGCGGTCATATCATAAAGTGTTGCCAAGTTTTCTTTTGGCATCACTTAATACTGTACTGTTTTTCCCTTCTTTTTGTCAGTGAAGCAGGAAACTAGGATTTGGGCATGGCAAGCTGAATTCAACATTTCAAATGTGGCGTAAAGTGTTATGAACCACAGGAGGACAATTGTATGCTCGAGCTGATAGCCCAGATTCCTACTTTGCCTGTGACATTTGAACGCAGCACAAGTGCCGCCCCGCTCTACCGGATTTCAGCCGGTAGGCACTCGTTTTCTGCCAGTGACAGTCATCCCTTTAAACCCTAAGGACCTCCTGGATTGTCCACCTGCCCGACATCTGTCCCTTTCCTCACCGCGCGGCGCGATGAAGCGGAAACTGAGCGACATTTAGGAGCAGTCTAAAGGACTTCTGTGCAACAGGCACCTGGGCTGCAAACTCACTGAAGGCTGGTCGGAGGAACTGTTGCACAAAATCCCGCTGCGATGTCTCTGCTGTGCGTTAGAGGTATGCTCTCACTTCACAGCTACAGGTTATCGTTTCAACAGGAGAACTCATGGATCTGCTCGTGTGAGGGTTTCTTAAACAGGCGAAGTTCTCACGGAAAAGATTTTATATATAAAACACAAAAACTTAGATGAAAGAAAAAAGGAAGGCAGAATATTTGAGGGCAATACTGTAACATGATTCTGAAACTATCCAGTTGTGAAGATACAGAGCATAACATAAACTTTAAGTGTTTCCCTGAAAGGTGAATTTAAACCTCATTTGCCTCCAGTGACATTTAGTGTAACACTCAGGCTGGATGCTGACTTTAAAAAAGGAAAATCACAGTTAAGTGAGAGCGTTTGGTCATTATCGATGGCTATGTGCGCATTAATGTTTTGTTGCTATTCTATGGTGCGATATTGCGAGTCTGAAAAGTTACGCTGTGGTTAAATCGAGCCATAGTAATCAGTGCTCAATGCCAATGCTCACCAAAGAGCACTCTCAGTTTTCACCTGTTAAGGTATTAGCTTTGTATCTAAAGGAGGATGGATTTAGTCTGTTAGGCTATACCCAAACATAAGAGGGACATTTATTTCTGAAACTATTAAAAATCATAGACTCGTTTTTCTGAATGAAAAAATGCTCACAAAATGATTGAAGTTTGTTTTCTTCCTGTTATAGTAACACATGCTTGATTCTGATAGGAGGTCTTCTGGCCCTGATTTTTACCCATTTCGTTGGCATATTTTTATGATTATTGTTTGTTTTTTTTTGGTTTGTTTTTTTTTAGCTTTTCATTATTGTTCTTGAACTTTAATTTGGATTTCCATTTATCCGAGATTCTATGATTATTTTAGCGTTCCAAGTCCTGTTTAGAATCATCATTATAGGTCAAGTAGTCTTTGAGTTCTATTATATTTGGTCCTTGGTGTTTTTGGTGATCGTAGCCTCCACCGTGTTTCTCGGTGTTCAGTTGAGTGTCAGTGGCTTGTCACTGTGTCTAGTTGGCTACTTCCTGTTTGATTTTGTCAGTCTCTTTTCTTCACCTTAGTTTTACTACAGGTGCTTCATGTCTCAGTAGTTTGAGTTCAGCTGTGTCTTCTTACCTTTATGTTTCCATTTCCCTGTGCATATCCTCGGCTACAGTGCAAACAAGGCTGGATGCCGTGTCTCCATGCCGTTTTCAGACTTGATTTGTGATCTGGAGCTACATCAGTAAAAGCTCGGTTTTCTGATTCTTTCAGGTGGATTCTTAGCAGCCTACATTTGGGTCACTTATACTCTTAAATGACATGAACCTGAAAACTGTCAATACTACATGTTAAAATAGTTTAAAACTGGATTCATAACATAACTTAGGACTGTATACTCTCACCTGACCGTTAAGACTGCACATCTTCAATACGGTAAGAGGAAGAAAATAGATTAATCAGTGGCTATTTCTTTGTAATTTGCTGTGGCAAGAGCACATTTTATGTATTTGCTGACATTTGGTACTTTAAGGTCTTTATCCTTAAGCTGACTGACCCCTTTAAGGTAGCAGGTTATAGATCTCTGCAGGGACATTATTAATAAAATGTGCACTTCCTCCTTCATCGTTCAGCGTTCTCTTTCCACGTGAACTGCCCCCCGAGTTGCCCTGAAGCAAGTCACTTGATCTGCAGTTGTTCAACTAAAGCTGATGAGCGATGTGAGATTTTAATGTCTAAGTAAAAGAATAAGAAATGATTTTGGATATTTTTTTTGTTGAAAACCTGCATGTTTATCGGGTCTGACAAAGTTTGATTCATTAAAGGTTAAAAAGCCGGCGCTTCCCCTCACCGCCAGTTTATTAACATTTTTGGCTCCTTCCCAGATCACAAATTGCTCTTCTCTCGCAGATTGCTGATTGATTTTTCACACCATCAAACTATTGTCTGGCTATCTCCAGCTCTCAGCCCCTGGTGTATTGTTTCTCACTGATCATTTCTGACCATTTCTCATCTTTGGGTGCGAGTGCTGCCTGAGGATGAAAGGCCACCACCACCTCCACCCAACTCCTATTACAGAGTGATGAGATGAGGGTGAGGCTGGAGATGGAGTGAAGCACACCTGGGTCGCAGTGGGCTCAGACAAGTGGAATTATAAAATAATCTAATTTTGTTTCATAGCTTGCCCTGGGATTGAGAAAGAGTGCTTCATGCTCACATAAAAGTTGTTACTTGTTCAGGTTAGCATGAACCCTGGACTCGGCTTTTTAAGCTTTGCTGTTTCACTCAGAAGGACAGAAATATGGATTCAAATCAGTCATGACATTGTCCCACAACATCTGGACATATACGCCAGAAATGTTCACTACATCATCTTTATAAAGTGCAGATTTGTGAGTGCTTGCAACTTGTTTCTGCTGCCCAGATGAGGCCATAAATATCAGTTATTGCAGGTCTGACTTAGGATGGACTCAAACACTCATCGAAGCGGTGATTGAAGTAAATGCATCTTATAAATATGAGTGGATGTGTGATTCTCAACACAAGTGAATCTACATAATGTCATCTGACTGTCCTTTAAACAGTATTTCTTTTCCTTTTTAAAAAAAATCTGAGATATTCCATCATCTGACTTTCACAGACGCATCAAATCTTTTATAAAGAATATATTTTTAGATGCCAGACTAGAATGGTTTAATAGTAAACAACAACACTGTCAGAAATAGGAAGTAAACCACAGTTTCCCATGTGAAAAGCTAATGTTTTGTTAACTTGTCCAGCCCATCATTGTTTCTTTGCAGATTCAGTGCTTTATAATGTCACCTGAATTCTTCCTGAGATAATCTCCCTTTTTAATGGAAAGGTCTCGAGGGGTCAAGCTTGGTGGCCTTTCTTTGTAACGCTAATAATAGACTTGGAACTCTACCTAGTATCTCCTTGCATATGCAGACAGTAAGGTGAGAAACATGAGCTACAGGCAAATAAGGAGAAATAACCTCACAGGAACGAGCAGCGAACAAAAACAAACAGTCTATAGTATTAAGATTCACGCTGTCAAAGAGCAGTCCTTGGACATGCATGACCCCACCTCCTGTAATGTGTGCTCTTTACTCTGCTTTTAGGTAATTTCTGCATAAAAGTAAATTTAGCTGCTTTAAAATTTCCACAATCCTTATGTTTTTTCCCTGTTTCTATGGTTTAAAAACTGCTTGGTGTCGTTTAAAGTGATTATATTGGACTAAAAAGAGCCTTTCTTGGCGTAAAACGTCAGACGCTGACAACACCAGCAGATAACAGATAACCAACTGTGTTCTTATGATGTCTTCAGGCTGTTCAGGGACAAGAGATGTAACTCTGTGTGATGAGCTGGGAAATGCTCTCTCTGCCTGTGGTAAATGTGTTCTTTGGGAGTTTTCTTGTCTATGATGTACCTGACATGCTATCAGAGAAGCCAGTCTTTCCATCTCTTAAAGGAAGTGCCTGATATAAACCCTGACGAGTGGCATTCTTTCTTGGAAGCTGTGATACCTTTCAGAGGCTCATTTCCTCATTCCTGGTTGTGTTGAGCGCCCTCAGAACCTGCATGGTGGCTTGCAGATCTCTGCAGGAAGTGAACGGCTGCAGAAACGAAAGCAGGATGGGAGGACACAGCTTCTGACAGCTCAGTCAGTACCCACTCCTAGCTATTTCTGGATAGCAATTATCAGTGGAATAAATGCATACACTGATGGCATTGCATAATTTGCTCAGTGTTGAGTAAGGTTACTGTGAAGAAATTGGATTAGAGGAAATTATCCGGCAGTAATAGAAGATAAATACGTGCAGGTCGACTGTCAGGCATTTGGAGAAAGCAGAGTGGCATTCAGTCTCAGCAGATCGGCACAAAAACTGGCGCTTGTGCTGATTTTATTTATGTTTTTTTTTTTTAATGGCCTGGTTTGGATTCATCCATTCAAGGTGATAACTAAAACCATTTTGTAGGCCACCAGATGAGGGCAAAGGTGAAGGCAGACCAGGTCAGCCAGTACACTGGCACACACTGTAGTGAAATGACAGGGATGCAAGCAAAGCTTCAGCGGCCAATCTGTGGAGGCGGGGGTGGGGATAGAGGGGAAATAATCCCCATGCCATCTGCTGCTTTTCCTATCCTGCGTGGTTATGCTTGTATACGTGTGTGTATGTTGGACTGCAGCTCACATGGGCCAGAGGACTTCACTTCCTCCTTCTCTTTCCCTCCCTGTCATGATAAGGCTATTTCCTGCTACGAGCATTGGCTCAGTCTAACAGTTTCTCTTTACACTTAATCTTTGCTACTGGCCACTTGTCTCAACTCAGGTCGAGGAGTGCTCAAAGAAGTACACTCCAAGACGATTGTGACATGAAATGCAGAGAAAATACAGACACAAAACTGCGTTCACCTGATTTTTCTGCTCTTTGCAGAAATTGGTGCTGTCTCAGCACTTTTTCTTCTCTTTTTCTTTTTTCTTACAAAGGCGGGAGTTTTGATAGTGATTGGTGATTCTTATTGCAGTAAAAACATCAGTTGGCACATCACCACACGTATTTGTAATGACAAATATGTGTAAACCAGCATCTGTCCATTTTTTTGCACTTATCTGAAACAGAATTGGATCAGTATTAGGCTAAACGTTCCTAACATCACTGTTTTCCAGTTACTCCTATTTTTTTTTTTTTTTTATACTTTTTCAACATGTTCAAAATAAAGATTCAATCAATCAATCAATCAATCAATCCCGAGATGCTCCCAGGGTAGATGAAATATATATTTAATATCTCCAAAGACTTCTGGTCTCCCCTCAGAATCTCCCAGCTGAAAACAGTGAAGGTGCAAGGAGTAGAGATGGTGAGAGTACATGAGTTTAAATACCAGGGCTCAACCATCCAAAGCAATGGGCAGTGCACAAGAGATGAGAAAGAGAGTGCAGGCAGGGTGGAGTGGGTGGAGATGAGTGTCGGGGTGATTTGTGACAGAATGATAGCAGCGAGACCTGCTATGGTTTATTATTTGGAAACCGTGGAGCTGACAAA